GTGCACGTGCATGCTGCCAGGAAACTGCAACCTTCACATGAGATGACTTTTAGTCCAAGAGTGAAGAAAAATTAATTTAAGTACTCCATCTCCACAGAGTGTGTGTTTGTGTGCGCACATGTGTTTTCAAGGTAACAGCTGTAGCTCCTCTAAATATATCACTGCCCAATAAATTATGCTAACAGACATCTGCTCTGTTTGCTGATGTTGTGTTCTGTTGGTGGAGGAAAGTTTAATTTTCACATAAATCTGCACATGCATACATTCTGAGAAGCAGACTAAAGCACAGATGAGACGTTTGCTGTAGTTGCATCTCAACTTTGGAACAGTCGCCTCTTCACCATTAGGACCTCACCAACACTTGACATGTTTAAAGCCCCGTGTAAAACACATCCTTTGAGCTTTTGACACTTTTTTTTCCTTTTTTTTTTTTCCTTGTCTTACTTTTTTCTGTATTTTCTTGCTCTGATTTATTCATTTTATTAGTACAGCACTTTATTTATAAGCTCATTTAAAAAACAAATTAACTTTACTAAGCCTGTACAGCACTCAGAAAAGTTTATTTCTGGTTGAAATTAGACAAAGAGACATTTGTGGTGATGGTGCACGCATAACCACGATCAGTCAATATGGAGTCTGTGTTATCTTATGTCTGGGACCTGGGATTTTGATGTTAAGGTTTTCTGTGTATTAGAGTTCTTTGTTCTGTATTGTTGATAATCTGGCTTTCTGGTATTTCTAAAGGTTTATGGTTCTTTTTTTCCTTATTGCTGATACGCGTTCCCTTTCGTGTTACTTCTTTGTTCCAGTTCAAGTCCTTAAGCTCTGTAGCCGTCAAGCTCTGTAGCCTTCTGTTTATGATGGTAATTCTGCTTTTTTTAGGTTCTCATGAAATTCTTGTTATCTGTGTCTTTAGTTCCTTCACTAGTTTGTTAATCCCTGTTTCTGTTCTCATTCTGTTTCTTCAGTCTTCTGTCCATATTTCTGGTATTTCTATGTCATTTTCACATGTGTGAGTCTGCCATCTGTTAGTTCTTGTCTTACTTTGGTAGTCTTTTGTCTCTTGTCTCTAGTTTTACTTCCCCTGTCTCGTTATTCTTGATTTGTTGCTGCTGTATTTCCCACCTGTTTCCTTTTCTCTCATTACCATGTGTGTATTTATTGTCGTCCCCTATACTGTGTGCTCTTTTTTTTGTGTGCTTCCTTATAGTCCTGGATTTGTATTCTTGGCTCCTGTTTAGGGTTTTTGGGGTTTTTGGGTATTTAAGGAAGACTCAACCATTAAAGCTGTTTTAAGGTCATTTCTTGTCTCATGAGTCCTGCGTCTGGGTCCTAATCCTGCCTTCTCCACAGGGTTTCATGAGTATTTAATTCTATGCACTTTACTGTTACTGAGTATTGCCCCTCTTCTTTCCACTTCATTAGGCTGTATATCGAACAATGAACAGCTTTGTGTATGAAGTTTAACTACTATGTTGCTTTGATCATATTTAACCTATAGCTTTCCAATGTATAAAAATGTGAAGGGGAAAACGTCACCACTATGGGAGAGATGAGACACAATTTAATGGTGGGTGGAGAGGAAATGCTCGCAGGAAGTCCTATAGCTTTGGGAGCCTATAACAGCATAACTGAGAGATCGGGGTCACCTGAAAGTTTTGAGTTGAAAAGAGGATGTGTCTGAATTTAGACTGGTAGATGGTCCACAAGCCTGATAACGGAAGGCTCTGCCTCCCATTCTACTGTTAGAAGCTCCAAGATACCATAGGTGGAATAATTTGGTACTACAAGGAGTTTAAGGTTAAATTGAAGAACAACGGATCACACACCCATGGAAATCAAGCGGCACATTTCTCTAAAACAGGGTTCAGTGAAGAAGCTAACACAATTACCAGGGCCAGTGAAGAACAATTCCTCATTTGTGTCACGCTGAATAAACTGTAATATGTTTTAAGTACTGAGTGGGTCGCTCATTGAGAAAGTGTCTCAGCTGCTTTAGATGTAAGAGAAATCCTGATATCTGTGTTTGATATTTCTTTTTCTTTTTTTTTCCTTTTTTTTGCCAGTGTGATATCTTTCATTTAAAAAGTGTGTAGGGCTTTGTTTAACAAATGCTACAGAAGTGCTTTACAGGCGTTCTTGTGCACATGGAGATATGGTTGGTTAAAAGGGACAGGTGCAGCAGATGCCGGTAATCCAGCTCAGCTGTTGACGTAGCTCAATGTGGGTTCACTTTGAATTAACTGTATGGTGCAAAAACAGCCACAGAGACGGGAAGTTTTGGGGGAAACGGAGCAGGAGAATGATGGCCCTACACCCTCCATCCATCCATTCACAATTTTCTTCCACCAGATATTTGGAGCGAGCAGTCATTCCAGACAGACCCCGACCTGCCTCCAGGATGGAAAAAGATTACAGACATGGCTGGTATCTACTACTGGCACATTCCTACAGGCACCACTCAGTGGGAACGGCCCGCCACTCATCCACAACCCCCTGGACAGATGGAGTCCACGGCCCTGGGTGACCACTCAGCCTCAACACCACGTAAACCTTCCCTGGGCTCACTCAGCCCCTCACCCACTCCAGACCACGAGGTGAGGGACATTACAATAAAGTGAAAAACATCACTTTAGGTCTGTGCTTTCAGCTGCTTATAAGAAATACATGCATCAGACTTCACATTATGACCACTGTGGATGTTAATTTGACACGTACCACCTACCTAATCGTTACTGCAGACCATGTGCACACTCTCATGGAAACGGTCTTTCCTGATGGCTATGGCCTCTTTCAGCAAAAATGATTCAGGAATGGTTTGAGAAGCACAACGACGAGTCTAAAGTGTTGACCCCGCCTTCAAATTCCCCAGATTTCAATCTAATTTAGCATCTGTAGGATTTGCTTGAGAAATGAGTCCGATCCACAGATGCCCCACCTCACACAACTTACAGGACTTAAAGGATGTGTTGCTAACATCTTGGTGCCAGATACCACAGCACACCTTTCTTTTTGTAGTTGAGAATAGATTCTGACGAAGGCAATCAGCTCACAGCATACATGAAGAGATGAAGGGAAAGTAATGCAGTCAAACAATTTGATTTAAAAACAAAGTAATAAAGTCAAACTTTAATGCAGTGAAGGTAGTGTATCTATTACTGGCTACAATGCAATTTAGTTGATAATGAAACTCCTCGACTCTTAATAACAGCTAAGCATTAATAAAACTGGAAATGTCACAGCGGTTAAAATGAAAATGTTTATTTTGAGCTTTGGATTAGCATAAATCAACAAAAGCGCACACAGCACAGAATAATTATGAGGAAAACTGTAATAACACCTGTGTTGGAAGTGAATTAAGCACTCTGTGCTGCTGTTCTCAGAATAATATGTACATGACTTGTACTTAATGCTGCTGTGAGTTCTCATGAACAGGTATTTTTACAATTTGTATTTATGCAACTGACATGAGGACCAGTCGGTGCTGCCGACAGTAATTCTGTCAAGTGCAAATGACGAGCATTTCCCTAAACAAGATGGGAAAAAATGGATTTCTTGAATCCATTAATCATTGTTGACTCCAATAAATATGGATTAAACAGTGTGTCTTTATTTTTTTAATACCTCTGTGTTTCCATGCGCTTACAGTCATGCCAGGCCGAGATCTTCTTCAGGGGGTCGACTCGCTCGGGCAGCACCACCTCTGACAGCTCAGTGGAGCCTCTGTCCACTCACGAGCCCACACTCCCCACATGTGGATTTGTGAACAGCTGTTACTTTGTAAGCCACCGTCGTTTTTGTGTTACATTGTACTTCACAGGAGTCTGTGATGTTCATCGCGGTTTGCAAGAGTTATTTTCACGCTTCCATGTGCCAGTTTTAAACGGCGCAGTGCATTTGTCTGGGTTTCAATATAGTTTTATTTAAATGTAGGCAGCTGGGCAAAGGGAGTGAGAGGGAGAGCACTGTTAACACTCCAGTCTGGTAGCAGAATACAAGAACACTGAGCCGATCAATCAGTCAATCATGTAGAATGATGGGTGGAAATGTAGAGAGGAAAGGAGATGGATAGAGAGCGGCCCCATGTAGATAAAATATCGATCCAGTGAGAATGGACTGATGTTGACAGATGGATGTGCCTCAATCTGATTCTGGCACATCCATCTGATGCGATCGACCTCCAGACTGCTCGAGTATCACCCAGCTGCACAAAAGCTAAAATGGCAGACGGACCAACATGGTGCAGCAGGATGTCACTAAACAGAGTCTCATCATTTCTCTCTCTGATGTCTCTTTAGCCGCGCTCCACGTCTCTGCAGGGTGTGGATCAAGAGTGTCGCTCTCAGAGTCACGAAGATGAGGAAAAGGTAGGAGTCCCAATCTGCCCTCAGACTTGTAGCATCTTTTTTCACTTTTTTCTTAGTTCTGTAAATAATTCCTCTGCACCCGTACGTGTATATTACTGTATTTGACTCCTTGTATCATATATAGAGCAGTCAATAAGTGTTTGGACTCTGACACTGATTTAACCTTGTACTTCAGCATGCTTTCCCCCATAAAGACAACATTTGACAACCAGAGACTCACCCCTCAGTTCAGAAGAGAGCTCCTAGGAAGCTTTCAAGGGGCAAAGACTGGGAACAAGTGTAATGGTCATTGGACATCAGCTGCAGTCACTATAACATCTAGTATTATAGCTTTTAGTAGTGTGACTTTTATAATGATTTTCTAGTTATATTGATGTCTTTTTCTACTTTTTGTCATCTCTTTGCACACTTTCAGTGTAATTACTGTATCTTTGTGCTGTAGTAAAGCTTGAAAACAACAGAAATGGTGTCACGGTCTAAACACTTGCTGATGGTGTATGTTTGTGTCGCTTACATTCTACTAATCAAGAATCGACAGATTCTCAGTAGCGAGGTGAATGTTCAATGGGAGCAAAACAAATCGGGGAAAACCCGGAAAGTCCCGTTGGACTCTTCTTGGCCCTTTTACTTTTATTTAGGAAACGTTTTGCTGCTTTGCTCGTTATTGCAACACCGTCTGAGTGTAGAGTAAGCTGGTTAGCTAACAACATTGTTCTGTCTTTATCCCCTTGCCCCCCTCTCCACCCAACCTTTGACTCTCAATCCTTGACCCGCCACTGTGTGTGTGTGTTTGTGTCTTAACGCCAAATATAGAAACAGGTGTGGAGTGAATTTGGCGGAAAAATTGATAGTGAAATGTGGAAGGCAAGTATAATGCACTCGGTGTCAGTGAGTCTTGTTCTTGGTCTAACCTCACCAGCTATTTGAGTGTGTGCATTTATACATCCTGTGCTAAAGTTCACTGCCTGGGCAAAAAGCATGCGTGGCTGATGCTTTAACATAAAAATATCTGCACAAACCGCAGCCTCTGATCATGCCTGATGTGTAAGAACATGTCTGTTTACTCCACTCCAGCGACACATTAGGTTGTTTCTTTCTTTACATACGCCAGTAATATATTTTCATCTTTCTGTTCTGGTGGCACAGATCTGACTGCGTAGTCACACACACCAGTGTGTGTACATACCACATAAACCTTTTTCTTTCTGAATGCAGCATGCCCCATTACACATAACACACCAATGCCATTTATCCATCCGGCAGCAGCATTCGCTCCACACTTGGATGCATGCTGGCATTCACGCTGAAGGGTCAGAATTTACATCTATTTCGTGTCTTGTAGCGCCTCTACCACAGGAGCTTGTGCCCCATGAATTTTATGACGGGTACACATAGGTGTTTCAGTTTATAGCGGTAATATTTTTGGACATTTCCACATATCTCGCTGGAGCAAAATGACCAGCAAGCCTGTGAAAATGATCTTTTTTTTAGGAGGACTGAGGAAGAAATACAACCACACGAGAAGATAGTTTTGTTTTTTTTGTTTTTTTAAACAGTAGGAATCCATAAGGAACATCCATATTAACATTAAAAGGATAATGCCAGCTCATCTTCTTGTTGTTAAATCTGGATGTCTTCATCAGGATCTTATCTGGCTGCACTTACTCCTGTTGGATCATTCAGTTTTGTTTTGTTTTTTTAATTCAGGAGAGTGTTTCAGTGACAGAAGACACAATCGGTTTATATTCTCATACAGTATTCCAGGTTGCATGTGTAAAAGATGCTCTAGGGTGGAACCCCTGCTGGATACAGAGGCTTATTTTGCTATGATTTTCACATATGTGCATCAGGACCTGCAGGCAGCCACAGTGAACCCGGACCCCAGTCTGAAAGAGTTTGAGGGTGCTACGCTTCGCTACGCGTCACTCAAGCTAAGGTAAAATACAGAAGACACACAAATCCATCCAGCTTCTGTGCATGAATCTCTGAAAGCCTCCAGAGCTGCAGTTATTAAACAGATTGTCCTGTATTTTAATCTCTTCTTTGTTTCTTGGAGATTGTATTTAATTAAAGTGTAACAGGTTCAGCCAAAGCAGCCAGTTAGATCCTCTCTTCAGGAAAAGGGTCCATGTTCTGCTAGTGTATCGCCTGCTTGTAGCTTCTGTAAATTCACACATCAGACAGAAACCTTGCTAACAAAGCAGCTAATAGTTCTCTTATGTTTAAACTATTTTCAGGAGCCGTCCAGCAGCAGAAGAAGAATCCAGCAGTATTAACAGTGACCCTGAGGCAAAGGTAAAACCCTTTTTCTAAACTTTATATACATGAAGGTCAGCATTATGCACTGGCCTTCGAATGTCTTTATAATGTGTGGTCTTAGACACAGGACAGGCTGAATCAGGTGAGGTTGTTCTGTAGCTGTTGCCTCTATATTTAAAAAAAAAAAACGTAAGGTAGGTTAAAAGATCATTTTAGAATTTAAGTGCCAAACACGCTACTTTTTATAAAAGTACTTCAATTTTTTCAGTGTCTAAAGTTCCTTTAAATGGTTAAAGTTGCACTCGGCTCTCCAGCACTCATGATCTGCTGCTGTTGTTGAAAGAAGAGAAAGCTTGCCCCCCAGTGGTGGAAGAGGAAAATACAAGTGTGCAGTGGTGGACCCTCTTTAAGCCTTTAAGGAGTCTCAGGCTCAGTAAAACTTACTACTGTGGAGGGTGGCATTCATTTGCAAAAGGTCACCTTGGGGTATAAATTAAATTTTAAATTGCAGTGTTACTCACACCCACTGCATTCTGTCATAAGCTGCAGCAGATTCCAGTGAGACTAAAATAAATGAACACAATCCACAACAACCACAAAATGTACGGACAACAAAGCACAAAAACTTGTACACATTCATTACATTTATGCATGTACCTATGCATGTTGGTATTTGCACACTATCATATATATATATACTGTATAAGTTTGTTTTGTTTGTTTTTTCATTTCCCACCCAGTTTCGTGAGGTATTTATAAGACATATGACAGTTTTTACATATCATCCCTTATTTTGATAGATTGAGAGAAGAAAATTTGATTTAATTTTATGAGCACTTTTCTTGCAGGTGATTGGTTGTTTAATAATTTGCCATGAATTAAACACACTGATACATGCCCAAGATACATTGCCTTATGTACATTTATGGAGTTATTTATCATTGAACTTTTGATATAGTCCCTTCTTAAGGTCATGTGTGAAGTGATGTGTTGTAATGTAATATTGAACCTACAAATATCAATATAAATTGGATATATCAAAAGATTTGCTAAATTAGATTTTACAGTAGTGAAATGAAAATGATACGATAACAATATTATTGTTAATTGTTAAAGTTCTGAAAAAGGTTCGAGGTGTGTTTGGCTCATCAGAGCTTAAACTCAGTGGGTTGGTTGGTGTCCCAGCCTTCAGTCCTTAGGCAGCAGTGACACTGTGATGAACACCAGACACAAACACATGCCTGCAGCTCAGGCTTTTGATATGGCAACACGCTCGCACACTCACATGTTACAGAGAAGCAAATCAGCCATTGCTCTTTTAAGATTGGAGTGATCATTTTTCTGCCTACAAAAGAAGAAGTTAATTGCGTATTAGATCTCACTCTAAAGCAGTTTCAGCCTAGCATGAGTGGAAACATGACTGCATTAGAACAAACTTGCCACGAGTCAGTTTAACTGTGACGGTCTCCGTCTCCCTCCCTGACCTATATAGAGTGCAGAGTGCTTTCTGAACGGACTGCAGAAATCAAATGAATACTTTATGAGAGCAGAGGGACTGGTCTCACTCCTCTCTTTGTCTTTAACTTTCTTCTTTTTTCTTCTTCTTTTCTGTTGTTTGTTTGGTTTCATCTTTAAGAGGTTACAAGTTTCCAATCTCATGCGTCGTTTTAAACAAAGTGACGCTACCGTTAAAGGTAACAGGGACATATGACCTTTAAACTTGCTGTCTGTGTACAAAAAAGTTACTTTACTTTTTTGCTATTAAATTAATGCTCTTCACTTAATAGCTTTTAGTCTCAGTTGTTCTTCAGAGTGCTTTTTTTCCCTCCTTTCTCTGATTCAAAATCAACTGGTAAGACAGAGTAGCAGCAGATTGCATCAACATGTGGACAGGCAGGAGACTGACCCTGAGACTAACCCTGCATGGCTCACTCTTCCACACAAGCCACAACTGCTAAAGGCAAGCGCAGCGTATTTACCAACAGAGCCTGCTCTTGAGAATGATCCATACACCTGAACCATTCATTGTCCATTACAGCAAGCTTAGAGGAGCTTAGAAAATATATTAAAGTGATGCAAGATGTAGAACAAACTGTGTCCTGTACAAATACAGGACATTCAGCACTAGTGTTGAGAGGAGGTAAGAAAAAAAAGTAACAGCAAACCAGCTGCTGGCAGCTCTAAAACTTTGTAAACCTTATGCCCCATAGTGACAAAACGGCATTAATAAGGAATGACATTGCTGGAAGGAGAATATACCCAACACGTGTGAGCGTCACGGTTCGGAGCTGCCAAGGGATCCGTGATTCCTAAAAGAAATTTCAACTTTTTAGTCCTTCAAATCTTGGATGCTCTTCCACTTCCTTGTTTTCTTTGTATTTGTTGTGTATGATGGTGTGATCATCTGTTGTGTGCATTTCTTTTAGTGTTTCGCCGTGCGCTCTCTGGGTTGGGTGGAGATGGCCGAGGAGGACTTGGCTCCTGGAAAGAGCAGCGTCGCTGTTAACAACTGCATCCGGCAGCTGTCCTACTGCAAGAACGACATCCGGGACACCGTTGGCATCTGGGGAGAGGTGATGAAGACTCTCCTGTTTAAAATAAAGAGCATCGTGTTTGCAGCTATTAGAAGGAGAGGAGGGGAATGCTTAGGAAGATGAATCGGAAGAAAAGCGTAAAAGAAAGAAAGGAGCAGCATCAGTTAGCGTGGATAACTGCCTCCTGAAATATGGGGAAGTAGAGCAGTGCTATCAATTCTCTGCGGTGCGCTTTTATTTAATGTGAAGCGACAGAATGGACAGAGAGGGCTCGATCCCTCTTTTAATAACCTTTCATCTCCCAGGACCCTCTTTCTAGGGTTTTATAATTTATTTAGAGACCTTCAAAGCTAGAGAGCTCACAGGGATACACATGTACACACGGATAAATAAATATATGCAACAGTTGTACTGAAAGCTGCTGGCATTTAAAGGACTGTTGTTTTTTTTTTTTTTTTTTTTGCTGTGACTCTCGCTGCAGGAAATAAGGATTGCATATTTTTATGATGAGCTCTGAAGGATTTGTGTGTGTTTGTGTGCCCAGGGGAAGGACATGTACCTCATGCTGGAGAATAATATGTTGAACCTAGTCGACCCCATGGACCGCAGCGTGCTTCATTCTCAGCCAATCGCGAGTATCCGAGTTTGGGGCGTTGGCCGGGACAATGGCAGGTTAGTGGGGTTTTTGTTTGTTTTTATTTTTCCCTTAAATTTGACTTTCTTTTTCTCGTCTCCGTGAATAATTTACAGTGTGTATAAAAGCACGTCTCACACTGTGCTCAAAATCAATTCCCTGGATTGTAAATGTTCAGAGAGATTTCTGTATATTTAGCGGTTGTCTGGGTCCTGACTCATTGATGTCAGCATCCTTTTGTTGTTTAGCGTTTCAACGCTTCGGCTCATAAGTCGATGGCGAATTTAAAACACTCGCTCAGTGAAAGGTCATGGGAACAAATGAGGGCAAGCAGACAGGTGGCAGAGTTAACGTGGAGAAGAGGGGGAGTTGGTGATTGATGAAGGGGAGCTAATGTCAGATTAATTCATCACTACAAAGTCGAGGATGACACAGAGAGTGGCCTTTATCCTCTTTCACCACAAATCCCCACCTGACTGTCTGTCCCTCGCTTTCACCGCAGCTTGGCTGGGCTTCACTGACATCATGCTGTCACTGTACCCGGCAGCTTCTTGGTTTGAGCTTCCTGAAGTAAGAATGAGATAAATATTAAAAGAAAAGGAGCCTTTTTCTGGGCATATGAAGGTTAAAATTAAGCCATGGGCAACCAGCAGAGGACGCTGTGCACTGCTGCAGCATGCACACTGCAGAATGTAGGTTATGAGGCACAGCCGGGTGACTGGGGACTGAAACAGTTGGTGCTTACTGTATAATAAGAGCTGGCACACACGTGCGCGCGATGACGAGTGTACTCAGGAGACGGGATGAGGCTAAAAGCTTTTTGGAATATGCAGAACCTCACAATCCTGTTGCCTTGAGGGTGCGTCTCTCTTCTTTCATTCACAACCACGCAGTCGTAATCGCGCAGGTGTCGATGTTATTCCGTATAATGAAGCTGAAAATCCCTCCACCACATGGACCACAAGCAATTTTTCCCCCTCTCCAAATACTTTATTGGGATCTGTCACATATGGCTGGATAGTCTGAACAGTGGGCTGCAGCAAAGGGAGGAGGAGAAGAGGAGGTGGTCAGAGGGAGGGGGATCTGGCAGGAGAGAGGGAGAGGGGAATGAGGCTGCCAGAGGGGGAGGCATGGTTAGTGCTCACAGGGTGTGGAGCAGACAGGTTGAGGAGAGCGCGCGTGCAGTGCAGTTCGGTATCACCAGAAATTGATGGTGTGAGTCTGTAAATACGCCTGCCGGTCACAGGATTATCTGCCAGGATAGGACGACAGACCCTGTAAGTACATTTAAACACCTCATCCTCACTTTTGGAAGCATCACTCCTGCTCTTATGTTTAAAGTACAAAGAAAAGGAGGAGAAACCACAGATGAGAGGCCTTTTGGAGGGTGTTTTTTTTCTTTTTTCTTTTTTGTGAGATGTGTGTAATTGAAGGTGCTTATCACTACAGTTT